AATAATAATAATAATAATAATAATAAAGAAGGGGGAAAGGATTAAGGTATGTCTGATTCAGGCCCCAGTCTTCCCAATCATGGGCCATCTGAGAGTTGGACAATGAATAAGGATGATAGAAGAAAACTCTACGGATTTGAGTTTTGGTATTAAAGAAGAGTGCTGATTACCTGTAGACTGCTAAAAGAAACAGCAGATATTGTTGGAAAAGTGCAACCAGAATGTTGCTTGGAGGCAAAGTTGATGAAGCTTCGTCTAACATATTTTGGACATGTTGTTAGGAGAGGCTATTCCTTGGTAAAGGACATCATTGCTTGGAAAAGTGGAAGGTGAGCAAAGGAGGAGAAGAACCTCAACAACATGGATTGATACAGTGTCTGCAGCAATGGACTTAGATGTGTCAGGGAAGATGGGAATGGCATAAGAGTTCAGAGTTATTGTTTATAGAGTCGCTATGAATTGTACTTGACTCAGTGGCACTTAGCAATAACAAGAAGTATGGGTTTCATATCCGCACAGTCAGGTGTTCTGGGATGCCATTTTTTTTTTTTATTTTAATGATAGTTTACAGAGACTCTGGATTTTCATTCACACATTTTTACACACTTTCCTCCCTACCCACCACCCCTCCTCTCAGTTTGCTCTTCTCCTTGAAGAGGAAAAAATAAATCTTTTATTGTTATACAATTCTCCCCTCAAGTCCACTTTATTATGCACTCTTATTCTGGACTCTTGTCATGAACATAATGCCTAAATATATATTCCTTTTCAAGAGTTCTTTCCATCTATTTCATTGCAGTATACATAATTTATCCCTTCTTTTCTTAAGTTCCCTGAAACCGCAATGTCAGTCCTCTTTTACAACAGCGGCACTATACAGTATTTGTCCTTTCATGACTGAGATACTTCATTCAACATAATGTCCTCCAGAGTCTTCCATTTTGTATAATATTTCATGAGTTTCTGTTGCTGTCCATTCAATGGCAACAAACAGTGATATACCCTGATGGGGGTAAGCACGACAGAGACACACCACTCCGGGAGCGATTCAGAGAGTCGATCCAGCTCAATTTTATTGGGAGCTGCAGCATACTCATATACAAACAAACAGGAAGACAGGATAGGGTGGGCTTGCAGACATGGGACATGCGGATTGGATAGGAGAACCTCAGCTTCATGTAGACTGTTCCCAGCTCAACAGATGCGGCAGCCATCTTCCCAGGTGGCGACCTTTCTCAAGCCGGTATGGCCAAACACAGGAGAGCTTTCTCTACCCCATATTAAAGGCTCTTGGGAGGGTTGCACTTACCCTGAGCTAGGTGATCTGTCCTGGCCAGAGACCCTCCCTTCCTCTCCAACATTTCCCAACAAGTTTTTTTTTTTGTTTTTCAAAGCAGCAAGTATTCCATTGTGTGAGTATACCAGTTTCTCTATCCATTTGTTTGTTAAGGGACACTTATGTTGTTTCCAACTCTTTGCTATTGTGAACAAAGCAGCAATAAAAATGGGCGTGCATATATCTGTTTGGGTGGCAGTTATGGTTTCTTTAGGGTATATTCTCAGTAGTGGAATTGCTGGCTCAAATGATATTTCTATTTCCAACTTTTTGAGAAAGTGCCATACTGCCTTCCAGAGTGGTTGCACCATTTTACACTCCTACCAACAATGAATAAGGGTTCCAGTTTCTCCACAACCTTACCAGCATTGTTTCTTGCTGCTCTGTTGAATTTTGCTATTCTTACTAAAGTGAGATGATATCTCATAGTTGTTTTGATTTACCTCTTTCTTAGAGCTAGGGATTTTAAACATTTCTTCATGAATTCTCTTTGTCACGATAGAGAAATAGATTTTTATATGTTGATCTTATATCCTGCCACTTTTCTGAATTGGTCAACTATGTCCAGTAGTTTTCTTGCTGAGTCTTTAAGGTTTTCTAAGTATACTATCATATCATCTGCATGTGGAGATACATTTACCTCCCTTTTGCCGACTTGATACCTCTTATTTCCTTCTCTTGCCTTATTGCTATCACTAGGATTTTTAATACAATATTGAATAGAAGAGGTGATAGTGGGCATCCTTGCCTAGTTCCTGTTCTCAAAGGGAATGTCTTTAATCTCTCTCCATTGAGAACAATGTTGGCTCTAGGGTTTGCATATATACTTTTTACTATGTTGAGGAAGTTCCCTTCTAATCCTATTTTGTTGAGTGTTTTAATCAGGAAAGGGTATTGGATTTTGTCAAAGGCCTTTTGTGCATGAATTGATAGGATAATGTCGTTATTATTCTTTGCTTTATTAATGTGATGAATTACACTGACTGATACTCTTATATTGAACCAGCCTTGCATACCTGTTAGGAATCCCACTTGGTCATAGTGAATTATTTTTTTTTATGTATCGTTGGATTCTATTGGCCAAGATTTTATTCAGGATTTTTGCATCTATGTTCATGAGAGATACTGGCCTATAGTTTTCTGTTTTGGTGGTGTCTTTATCTGGATATGGTATCAAGGATATGTTTGCTTCATAGAATGAGTCTGGGAGAATTCCATCTTTTTATATTTTCTGAAATAGTTTATGTAGAATTGGTGCCAATTCTTCTCTAAATGTTTGATAAAATTTGCTTGTAAAACCATCTGGCCTAGTTGTTATGTTGTTGTTGTTATGTGCCGTCGAGTCGCCTGCGACTCATAGCGACCCTGTGTACAACACCCCTAAACTCCGCTCTGTCCTGTCCCAATTGCACTGTCTCTGACACTCCCATCCCAATTATCCCAGT